GACCTGAGCTGGTGGTGCTGACACCTTGATGGGCTCTATTAATCTTGAAAATGAACCAACACCTGATGAGGAAGAACCCAATGACAATGCCATGCCACCACATGAACAACCTCATTATTGGATTGATTATTTAGCCTTGGAACAAGAACGGTACAATCAGCGCCTACAATGGGAACAACAAATGGCTAATCAGCTCAATACATTGGGTACTCGGTTCGACGAATTTGGTACTCTGTTTGATGAAATTGCCACCACTCAGAACTCACTAATTCATTAATTTGGTGAGTTTCGTGTAGACTCAGAGAGACGTGCTGAACTGACAAGGAACCGCATTAATCAGATTGACTATCGAGTCACTCAGCTATACCATCAACATTTCCCTCCACCTCCAACACCACCTGACAATGATGCTTAACTTGTTCAAAAATCAAGTAAAATGGTTCACAGATATGGTGATTATATTTTTTCCCTTTTTTTGTTTTGGTTATTTGTTTTCTTATTTTGTGCATCCATTCACATAACGTTCATTATTGTTTCTGGATGTCCATTTAATAGGCCGAAGATGTAATCATCACCTCTGAATGGATACGTTCGTTGCGGTCGGTGACTACTTGACGCGTTGATATGGTCATGCATTAAAGCAATCATCAAAAAATCCATAAAATCATCAACAACCTCATCCTCCTCTGATGAGAGCTCCATTGTATTGTTTTCTCTGTCAGATGCCATATGGTTTTGTCTACATCACAGTAAAAGGATAATTAAATAATATGTTATTCATGCTATAACAGTTAGCATTATTGGTGAAACAGTAAAATTCAGAGGAGAACAAAATTTATTTAACACATGGTGATATTATAATAACAGAACATAGTTTTAATATAACAGAAAACACTTAAAAGTTCAAAAAAAAAAAAAACATACGAACATAGAAAAGGAAAGAGGATATGATGGAATGAAAAAAAAATAATAAAAACCAAATCAAGAATAATGAAATCATCAAACAGTTCAGCCAAGAAGATTTGCGAACACAAGCAAAACAGAACTTCTCAGTCACTGCAAAGCGAGGATCATGGCTAGGCGCAAATGGGTAGGAGTGTGCATAAAAAACCTTCGCCATTCTTTATCCTTGAACAGTGTCAGTGCCCTAACGTACTGCGATGGTGGTATGTCCCCAAGCTCTAGCAATGCATCTTGACATGCATCAAGGGAATAATCATCACCACCTGCACTTACAGCCTCAGTCTCATTTTCTCATGCACGTGAATGTCCTGTTTTGGCTTGTACATAGGATGTGAAAGCTACGCACACATCATCAAACCCACTTGACTGGGACTTTTTGGAACGACCACTGTCAGTTTGGCTGGTTGCAGGGCCTCTCTTGTGACTTTTGCCCTTTGTTGGATCCATATACTCATCCTCGAATAAGTCAACAGGAATGGCCTCAGCAACATTACTCCCACCAGCGTTACTCCCACCAGCATCAGCGTTCCAAAATTTATTTAACATGTCATCTTCTTCTTCTGAGTCAAGGGGTCCTTGTGTGGATGCACGAGACAGGGCCCCTGTGGCACAACAATTTTCAACGATTTCTGCAATTTCTTGAAAATATTCAAACCCTTTTGTCCTAAACTTCTTCACATTTCTGCTAGCCTACAACAAGTACAAAACAAGAATTAAGCACTGTATATATCATGAAATATTTAAAATAAAATTAGAAAATAGTACAGATTAATGGAAAACCTTATCCCAAAATTCATCGGGTGCAACAACAGTGCCTATAATAGGATCCCATCCCAGACCAGTCTGTGCCTGGAGTCACTTAAATGTCTGGTAATCAGCTTTTAATCACTGATATTTTTGGCGCACCTTGACACCTGTATACCGAAATCCATATATGTTGTGCAACTGATTTGCATAATGATTCCAATGCCTATTTGTCCACGAAGTAGTACGACCCGTTGTTTGATTGTTTCTAACCTTATCTCTCAACATATTTATTAATTTCGTTTCAATTCTGAGCGTCCACATTTTGGTGTTCTCATTGTTGTCGGAATTATTTCCATCCATCTATAAACATACAAATTATATTTAAACTGGTTTAAAGGAGAACACAGATAAAGGAAAAAGAACAGATGATTTTATTTCGAGAAAAAAAGTACGTAGCAGATTAATTGAATTTAAATAGCAGAAATATAACCACAAAAAAAAAACATTCAACAAATAATAAAAAAAAATCAGTTAACATTGTGTTTAAATAGTAGGAAACAAATCAGTAAAAGAAAAATTAAGGAAAAAAAATCAGTAAAAAAGTCTGGTAGGTTCAAATAGTTGAGGGGAAGACCGGTAGGTTCAAACCATTAAGGAAGAAATGGAAAACAGGAAGACAAAACCGGAAGAGGTGGGAGGACCGGGTGGAACACCGGCGGGTCGACCGGCGAGACGACCGGCCGGGTGTCCTAGGCACTCTCGCTTCAGGTTCTGATCGATGAAAGGTTCAAATAGTTCATAATTTAAAATAACAACCGATTTGAAATGGAACATACGCCTCTACAATTTCTCATAAACCATTTAGGAACTGATTTCAACTTCTCCGAAATCATTTATACATAACAGATGAATGATTTACTGACTATTCTTGAAGAACTAAAAAGTTGAAACAGTTCAGGATGAATGATGAAGAATGAAAACATTTATCGACTCGTCTGAAATCATTTTCAGATAACAGATGAATGATGAAGGATTTATTTACCAGATTAGTGGGAGTTGAATAGTTATCGCCGGTGATGGAATGTGTATACTGATTGAATGTGCCACTGTTTGCTCGTCGGATTCGACAATAAATTTGGTAAATTTGACATGAAAAAAAATAAAAAATAAATTAGGATGAATTTCTCAAATAATTTCCCTATAAGAAAATATGTAAATAAATTTGTGAGTAATTTCACCTCGCAGTCGTCGTTGTTTGGTTGCCCGTAATAAAAATTGTCCGCAACGCACAAATCGTAACTTAGTCGATTTGTGAAATATGATACCAGTATAGAGCGGGTTGGGTGGATTCATTATTTATAAAATGAATCTGACTTCTGAAACCCACATGTGATGAATCTGAAGTAGGATGTTTGATACAGAGAAGCCACCCATGATGAATCTGAAGGACTGGTGTAGATGAGGTTCACGTGAAAGTTGCAGAGACGATGAAGAAGGCAGAAACGTTGAAAGAGAGATATAAGTTGCCAAACAGATTTTCAAAATGTAATTTGAATTAACACGTGGAATCAACTTTTGAACGTCGAATCCAAACATCATGTGCGAGCTCACGTGTTGAAAATTGATTTGAATTAACAACCAAACAGAGCCTTAGTGTCCCAAACTCTAATTATCACATCGTTCAAAAAAAAAAAAAAACTCTAATTATCACCGTACAAAGTTTAAAAAAAATATAATAATCTAAATTTATTTATTTATTTTAAAAAAAATAACTCTTTGTATGGTAAATATTAGGGCAAATTACATATACCTCTCTCGAGATTTAGCTAAATTACAGATATTCCTCTGAGGTTTCGGAAATTACAGATACCTCCTGATGTTTATATTTTCATAACAAATTGTCCCCTAATTTGTTATGAAAATATAACTTTCAGGAGGTATCTGTAATTTCTCAAACCTTAGGAGGTATCTGTAATTTTGCTAAACCTCAAAGGGGTATATGTAATTTGCCCTAAATATTATTATTTAAAAAATTCAGTGATGAACAAGATATGGGTTGCGTTTGGTAGAGTTTTGTAAATATGATTTGAGAGTATGGGTTGTATTTTGAGTTTGTGAGTTGTGAAATTATGATTTGAGTGTAGAAAATTTGTTTGGTTATGATTTTTGAATAGAGTGTTGAATTGAGTTTTAAATTGTATGTGAAATTGAGTTTTGAAAGTTTGATTTGACATGTGAAGTAAGAAAATTTGTTTGATTATGAGTTTTGGAAAGAATTTTCAAAACTTAATTCAAGTTGTTATAACTCATAACAAAATACATTACTTTTACACTATTAAAAATTCTGATCAACACTCATAACCAAACTCCTTTTAAAATTCAATTAAAAAAATTTATTATTAACAAAAAATAACATTAATCAAATTTTTAATTGAAAATACTACAAAGGAAATAATTTTTTTTCAAAATAAATATTCAAAAAATTTAAATCATAAATATTTAAATAATCTAAAAAATTTAATAAGTAAAAAATTAAAATAAATATTCAAAAACACAGAAAATGAAAAAAAATAAAAAAAATTAAACAAAATATTACAAAAAACGTAAATTAAAGAACAAGAACTTATTTCAATGTATAAAAAAATAAAAATGACAAAAACATAAATTTAAAAAAAATTACAAAAATTAAGCAAAATACGTCAAATCAAAATCCAAAATAAACAACTAAACAAATAAATATTTTACCAAAATACCCCAAAATAAAAAATAAAAAATAAAAAAATTTAAACAAAATATGCCAAATGCAAACCTAAAATAAAAAAATAAAAAAAAAAGGTTAGCAAAAAACGACAACTCCAAACCGAAAATATATTAAAAAAAAAATAAAAAAGAACCACAACTATTTCGTGCTGACGTGGACGACATGGCCTTTGCAATTAAGGTAGATGTGTTTTGGGAAAGGCACTTTGGTAAATTAACAGGAACACACATCACCAAAAAGTCAAAAAACTAAAAAAATCCTTCCCAAACCAAACCTTTTAATCCCAGATTAAAATAACCAAAAAAATTAAAAATCAAAAAAAAGTTAACCCACTTCCCAGCGGAGGCTTAGCAAACGAGCATAATTTTTTTAAGCGAATCTCAATCCCCAAACGATGATACCTACGATACGACCCTCCATTTTCATTCGCCTCTAAAACCCTAAACCCAATGACGAAATCAAGGGAATAGTCAGAATGAAGCTTCGTCGAAATCGAAGAAAGTCTTGGGTTTTCCATTGAAGAAAGACTTAGCAAACGAGCAAAATTTTTTTAAGCGAATCTCAATCCCCAAACGATGATACCTACGATACGACCCTCCATTTTCATTCGCCTCTAAAACCCTAAACCCAATGACGAAATCAAGGGAATAGTCAGAATGAAGCTTCGTCGAAATCGAAGAAAGTCTTGGGTTTTCCATTGAAGAAGAAGAAATGGCAACGATTGTTCTCGCCAGATTAATTTGGGTACTCCCTCTCTCTCTCTTAGGGATGCAATCGATACAAATTGAAGATTATAGACCAAAATGAAATCAATGATATACTTTACGGACTATTTATGTAATTTATCTTTCATTTTACTATCACCAAAATAATCTTGAACTGTATGGGTATATAAATATGGATGTTCAACTGAAATTGATTGTCGTGTGGATGTAAAACCCATTTATCTTGTCCAAACTGCAGATAAAAGATATGCTTATTACACTCTCAAGTTCTTTGAAAACAATTCAAGCCGCCTGCCGAAGTGGTGCAATGATGCGGATACCATGAAGCACCCTTTCTGCCAAATTCGAGAGAAGTATCAAATGGATCCATACCCGCATATGAATGAAAGGTGCCCATCTCTTCCCCCAAAATACTCTAGGTGTAAGGGTTGCTAAAACGTCTTCTGATTTGGTTGTCCTGTTTTGAAGTTTTTATACCACTGCTTTGTATAATACTAGGTTTTTGTATTGTTGATTTTTCTGTATATCTTTTCTGATGCAAAGGTTTGAAAGATTCCAAAAAGATCAGTTGATGTAGATTAATGTTGTCTGTAAATTTACTACCACGATACACATGGAAAGTAATGTTAATTTCATTGTTGTTTATAGCACAATTAAAAAGTTAGAATTTGGAAATTTCATCGTTCTTTAGGCTTTTGGAGTCCATGTCATATGTTGAAGTCGCATCCACATCTGAAATCAAGGTTTCTATTGCCTTAACACTACACTATTGTTCTTTTTGTTGTGCAGAATAAAATAGATAAATAAGAGGAGAGGAAAGAAAGCTATTGAAATTCTGATACCAGATGATGCTTAGACATTTTTTTTTGGGGAGCACTTAGTATGATGTTAGTGGGTTATTATGTTAGGGTTAGCACAACCGGGCATTCAACGTTTCTCCATAAGCTCAAATGCCAAATGTCCCTCTAGAAACCTGAAAGTACATCCACTTGAGCTATGCTTAAATTCAGATGATGCTTGAGAATTTATAGAAGATGACATTTCAAAAGGAAAACTTAGACTTGAGAGTTTATATCAGATAGATAGCAACCTAGTTGGTGCAGAGTCCTTGATACTGCAGCTGGTTTTGATTAATTCAATTCTTGTGGTTAATTTAGGAACTTTGATTTTATTGTTATCACTATATTAACTATTTTTGTATGAGAATGGAACTTGTTGGTATTATCCTTACTGGTGAATGGGACTGGTTGTAATTCCGTGTCAATAGCATTAAATCATTTTTTGTTTTTCGCCTCATGATTCATTTGATTAAATTTAGTTTGAGATCGACTCGAAATGTAAACAAACCAAGTTCATTAAGTTTTTAAGTGAAACTTGCACAACTTATTTACTAAGTTCAACTTGACTCTTTACAAGGTTCTATGTGAAAGTGTTAGACATAAGAGCAATCTACATGCATGAGAAAAAAATACACACACAAACATGCACACTTAAAAATGAACAAAACACAACACCAATTCAATTTTTTATACGCTTGTGTTTATACTTTTCTGTGCACTACCATTATTGTTAGAAGAAGAATAAAGAGATCAAATAGAAGAGACATTTAAAAGATGGTCTGAAAATGAAATTTGGTACCAAGACAAAAAAGCAGTGGTACATAAAGAATGAGGTCCATCAATGAGTCATGAAAGTAGACCTCATTCATTATATACAATCTCCATCAAGGTTGGAGATAAATTGGTTTAAAAAATAGCCAAGAAGTTAACCCCAAGGTGTTGGCCTAGTAGTAAGGCCTTAGGTCTTGGAGTTGTGCTCCCTCCAAGGTTCAGGGATCGAAATCTTTTAAGTGCTAACAATTCATTGAGGCCATCAGATTGGGAGAAAACCCTTGCATTAACCCTGATGCACTTGCAAGAAACCTCTTGCTGAGTGCCTGTGCACCCCTGGGATTAGTCAAGCTTTGATCCAGATATTCTGGTGCCAATCCAAAAAAAAAAAAAAAAAAAAAAAAAGGCCAAGAAGTTGTCCAATACAAACATGTCCATAACCACCTCACCAAACACAATGTAATAAAATAAAAATGTTACGATTATTATATTGATTAAATTTTTTTCACGGATAATACACATTGATGGTCTTACAAAATGAATGGTTCGAATCATTGAAATGTGCTTGTGATGGACCCCGTGGGCATGAACTTGAGAGAGATTCAACTAAAAGAAAAATCACAATTATTGGCTTGATTGAATAATGTTTGAAGAAAAATGTGATAGTTGCGATCTCATATTCAATCTAATCATTAACCAATCATCTCTTTTATATGGTACTGAATCTAGAAAATGAGTTTAGAAAATTTGTATATCATTTTCCAAAATCAAAACAAGTATAGTAAGTTACCAAATGGGGGGAGTGGTCGGAGGTGGGGCGGAGAGGTTGGCCAGAGGACGGAAGGGTGAGGAAGGTAAGAAGGAATGAAACTTGTTTTGAAAATAAGTAAAACCACATTTTTCTTATTTCCTCAATTTTTGAGAACTGTAGCCAGTTTTTTTTAAAAGTGAACAATTAGCAAACGCTTTTTTTTTATTTCAATTTTCAAAAAATTTAAAGCTAAAGCAAAATAAATAAAATAAAATAAAAATCTCACCAAACGAACCCTAAGATTTACAATCCCAATTTAAAAACTTGTGTAGTTACCAACTCTCTAGGATCAAAATTTGGAGGTCAAATAACAAGCTCCCGATCTACTAAAAAAAATGAAAAGGAGAAGAAAAAAAAGACAAAAATTTGATATCAATATGAATACAAGAAGTCAAGTGCCAAGAGCACGTGAAAATAAATAAATACATAATATGCATTCTAAATATAGTGGTAATCCAATATGGTTAGAGCTATCTCCTCTCTCGCTATAGATAATTTCCTTGCATAGAGCCAAATATTGTGTCCCCAATCCAAACTTCTGGAATGTGTGCAATTTTTCAATAATTCCCATCTTCTAAGTTTCTGTATAGGCTTGAACTCAATCCGTAAGACATACCAATAAAATAAAGAGATTTAAGGTTGGTTAGATGTTTAGTGCCAGAGGGTAACTCCTCTACCAATTTACATTCACAGATAAATAACTCTTCAAGATGAGGCATTGAGCCAGCCTTCACTTTCACCCATCTCAATCTTCTTAATCCAACAAGTCCTAATCTCACACGTTTTTGAAATCCACCAGCCTTGAAACACAATTATTTCCCTTCATATGTCTAACGAAGTTGAAGTTCAACCAAATTGGGCAAACTTTGAAGGAATTCTAGTGGATCAACATCCTTCAACTTACTCCGTGCTACTCTTACCAAGCTGTGCAATGAAGGTATCCAATGCGGTACCTTATGTAAACGTCCTACTAGGTAGAGTGTTTGAAGAAGTTGAGGAGGTGAAGAAAGAGAATCTGGATCAATGATCTCGTCTTCTCCTATTGCACAAACAACTAATGAGCGAAGGTTACTAAGCTTCTTAAGGGATGAGCATAACACCCTCCCATCTTCATTTCTCAAATTTTCAATGCGTAATTTCCTTAGTTGAGTCAACTTCCTTGCCTCTTCTAGTAAAATGGTCCCATTATCATGGTTTGTTTCAATAGAACAAAGTTTCTATAAGGATGACAAACTTCTTATTTCCGCCGGGGCTTTGAATCCACAATGGTGTTGAAAACAAATGGAAGGAACAAGATCTTGTTTGTAGCGATACAACAAGATATGGCGAAGTTGTTGGAGCTTGAGGGTATCATCAGGCCACTTAGTGACATACGTATTTTTAAGGTCCAATGTTTCCAGGTTTTGGAGCTTTCCAATCGACTTCGGAATTACTTTTACATTGGTTCCCCCAAACTTAAATACCCGAGTTGAATTAGTTTCAAAACTTCATTTGGGAATGTCTCCAACAAGGCACCTTTCAAGTCTAGCACTGTTAGCAACTGTAGACCATCATTTGACGATGCAAGCATGGAGAACTTGGACATTGAATTTGTTGCATTGAACATAAGCAAAGAACGAAGTCGAGTGAAACACTTGCTTTGTTGTGTATTTTCCAAATGATTGTGGATTGATAAGCGCCGCACCTTTTTGGGCCACACTCTTCTTTGTTCACCAGCTATTGTCACAATGTTTTGCTCGCCTGACCTGGAAACAATAATTTCATGCCAGAGGTCATTGATGCGATACGTTTTGATCCTTTCATCTGATCTCATCTCTGCCACTTGAACTAAGCTTCTATTGATTAGCTCATTCAGGTAGCCCTCAACACATTTGTACAAATCCTTCTGCCACCCATAATCGAATCAATCTCCAATGGTCAATGAAACAATTGCAAGGCTACGGTAGATCTTATTCCACTCATCCACACTGCTCTTATCCTTTGTTGATAAAAGACCACTAATTGCGACAATTGCAAGCGGCAATCCTTGCGTCTATGCAAGATGGCTTTTGAAAGTCTTTCCAAGTGTGAAGGGCAAGAATTCTCCATAAATGTTTTCCTACAAAACAATGTCCAGGATTCTTCGGGAGGCAAAGCCCGAAGATTATAGACATCACGATAATATTCCGCACTAGCGATATAAGCTAAATCTACATTTCTGGTTGTCAGCACTACACGACTCCCACAATTGCCAATGGGAAACACATATCTTAAAGATTGCCAAGCATGAATATCCCATACATCATCGAAAACAAGCACATACCTCTTTTGTTGCAGGAAAGCATTAATTATCCCTTTGAAGCTGTTGCTGTCCATGTTGTCCATCCCTTGTGGGACTGGTTGCTTGATTTCTTCAAAAAGTTGTTTGATGATGCCTTTTAGGAGCACCTCAATCTTGAAGGTTTCAGAAACAGTGATCCAAACATGATTATGGAAATGATTCTTCACAACTGCATCATCAAAGACCTTTTTAACGAGTGTTGTTTTGCCCAATCCGCCCATTCCTGATACAGAAAACACCTTGAGTCTGGGGTCTTCATGCACCAACCACCTAATTAGTTGCGATTTGGGCTTGTCAATGCTCACAAGCTCAGATTCATGGAGTAGAAGGGCATCGCCACGATAATCATGGCATGCTGTGTTAAGACCAGTGGACCTCGAGCTTGAGCCTTGCTCTAACATACCATATCTTTCATGGTATCTCTGATGTCCCTTCGAAATATCGATGACTTTGGCCTTCATTCTTTGAACTTCTGAAGCAATTTGGTGACGAGCTTTTAAAGTCTTAATATAGCAAGAAACCTTACGAAGAAAACCGCGAAATCCAGCGCCATGACAATGTCCGAGGCGAAGCATGAACAACTCAAGAACATCTCCAATGTCGTATGCAGCTTCTTGGACTTGCTTGACCCATACTTTGAGTTTGGGGTTGTTCTCTTCCATAGCATCGGCAGCTTTGAGGAAAGCTGTCATGCGCCCAAATTCATCTCTGATGTATCGGATCTCTTCTTCAACTCCAGTCAACAAATTGACCTCTTGTTGGAGGAAGGGTGCGAAGTTGGCTAGTAGATGGAACACTGCACTCTCAGCCATTTTTTTCAAAAAAAATGTGTTTTGTTGCAGAGGAGTGGCCTTGGTTGGGTTTGCAGGAGGAGTCGTCTGAACTCTGAACTGAGTTTGTGATTAAAGGTGAGTAGTGAGTTTGAAAATTGGGGATTTGTAATGCTGAAATTCAGTTGGGGGTTTCAGTGATCCAGGTGGGGGGCATTTACTCGTTTTGATGTGTGAAATCTCATTTTTCTTCCTGTTGAATTTGTTTTTGCGGTGTTGGGTTTGCAGGAGGAGGAGTCTGAACTCTGAACTGAGTTTGTGATTAAAGGTGAGTAGTGAGTTTGAAAATTGGGGATTTGTAATGCTGAAATTCGGTTGGGGGTTTCAGTGATCCAGGTGGGGGGCATTTACAAGTTTTGATGTGTGAAATCTCATTTTTCTTCCTGTTGAATTTGTTTTTGTGGTTCACATGGAGGCGTCTTGCTTGACCAAATAAAAAATAGAAAGAGACGAGTGGGGGGTGTTGTTACCGGCCCCACTTGGTACCAATCAATATTCAAGTAATATCACAACTTAATGGAAATTCAATTGTATGCAATTTTTTGTTACGATTTTTTTGTCTTCGATTATGATTTATTATATTGTTAGTTATGATATATTATGATATTAATTATGTCATTATTTTAATTATGATAAAAGCATTATTTGATTATATATAATGGGATGTTTGATTATAATTATTTTTTTTAATTATGCTATCATTTGAACAAAATATTCAGTAATTGGAAAATGCCGCAGAACCCCAGTGGGGGTTAACCCCCACCACCCCCACTGTTTTTTGATTGGTCCATATTTTTTTTTTGGTCTTCCACTTCCAGCCCCCCACGTGGAGGTGGGGGTGCTGGGGGTCACCCCCCATTGGGGGTCCCCAGCATTGTTGTTAGTAATTTATGTAAAGAGTTTTCGATGCATTTGGCAGATGTAATAGTTATTGAATTTTTAATTATATTTGAATTGTGAGTTTACTCCTAATTGTTTTATTATTAGTTAATGGTGACATGGTATTGTATTGAATTGAAACTCCCACGTGTGTGGTTCTAGCTAAATATCTCTTGGTTGCCAAAAAGAAAGAAACCAAATTGTATAAAGAAAATATTATATATATTCTTATTTTTTTATCTGACGGAAAATGTCCTTTGTTTTAAATATTTTACATATTTCTTATTGTTCAGTTGAATAAATAAGGAGCAAGTAAAATATGTTTTTAAGAAAACTATTTTTGGTCATAGTCTCCAAAATAATTTGCCACTAAAGATTTGGTGAGTCAATTTTTAGAAAATTCACTTTCAACCTGGCTATTCCAACACATTAAACTTTTCAAAAGTGAAAGGGTGGAACTTTATTGGTTTCTACCCAATGCATAGAGTAAATTTTTTTTGTTTCAATTGTCAATTAAATACCGAAAAATGAAGTTTTTTTTTTTGTGTACAAAATTAATTTACATAAAGAATATTTTTAGGTGTAAAATATTTTAGGATCTAGGTGTAAAATATTTTACATTGAAACAAACGAAACTTAAATGCTTTTTGCATTTATGTTTCAAAAATGGACAACTGGTATATTGTCCACATTTCAAAAACAAATATGTTAAAATCATCTTATTATAATTATTAAATTAATTATATATACACAGGGACTCAATGCATCCTTAGGTCATGTGATAATATTGAGTCACATAAATCTTGAGGTATAATTTAATAAATGAAAATGCATTAAGACTAGTGGGAAAAGGAGACGTGCTTAGAAAGTGTTGCATATTGAGATTCTACTTTAGGCTTTATCAGGGGTTGGGCCGACCTTTGTAAGAACCGATAAGATGAACAATTTAAATCACTACAACACAGTCTATTTGATTGGAAATTATTTTCTATTTATAAAAGGCAAAAAATATTTTTCAGACTAAGGTTTTACTAAGGGAAAATTAACATTAAGTGGTAATTTAAAAAACATATTACAAATTTATGAAAAAAATTTATAATTTTAATTGTTAATATTTATAAAGTTTATCACTTAATTGTAATTATATTTTACAACTTTCACTTATATGAAATTTTCCATTTTACTAACACCACTATACTACCATCGCCACCATTATCTCCACCACTACATTGCCACTGCCATTGCTACCACCGTTGCTATTACCATTTTCGCCACCCCATGACCACACCACCCTTACTACCTTCGCTTCCACCTTCACCCTTATCATTAATACAATCATTCGTACATTTATAAAAACATTTTTTTTAATAAATATTTTTCATGAAACAAAGAGAACGTTAATATTTTACAACTCTTATATGAAGTAATCTCACATTTTTATTTGGTGTAATTTTTTTTCTAGTTAAAAGTTGATGATCAAAAATTAAAAACTAAAAGTATTATTTCCCAATTTTGAAATAAGTAAAAAAATTCAACATCTTAAATTAATTCTACATGCTATAAGTGGAAATTGAGCAAAACACTCTGACAGTAGATTATAGTGAGTAGTGGTGGCTATGGGTAGCGATTGAATGGGAAGGAGGAGGGATGGATATAGTAAAAACACTCTCTAAAAACAAGTTTGATTTTTAATTTTTTTTAAAATTATTTCTTTGAAAAAGAAAATAAATAAATAAACAAAGCAATATGTCATATAAATTTGGGTAAATTACACTTACACTCTTTGAGGTTTAGATTTAATACGTATCACCCCCTGACGTTTGGAAAATTACACTAATCCTCTGTCATTGTAATTAATTAGACGGAATGAAGATATTAAACTCATGCATTCTCTATTTTCTTGCTTTACTTTACTTTTTCCTTTTTTTTTCCCTTTATTTATTTTTTCAATGTAATTTCTTCTGTTTTTCTACTAGGAATTGTTTCCTTTTATATAAGTAGAGGGTTTGTGAAATGAGACTATTAAATTAACTATAGAAGTGTGAATGTAATTTCCAGAACGTCAAGGGGTGGGATGTAATTGGACTAAAGCTTAGGGGTGTCAGTGTAATTTACCCTATAAATTTTTTTTTTCATTTTTTTTGAATAAAATAAAAATAAGGGTGATTCTATTTACATACCACCAATCCTCTCAGCACACACCATTTCCTTAAAAAACTTTATAATATCTTTATCCTTCTAATCAATTACGTTTTTAACCTTTACACAAATTTCTCAATCCACACAACCCACCCCCACCAATCCTAACCCTTACCCTAGCCCCCGTTGTCACTGCTCCTTACCTGTCACCGTCGCAGCCATTATCAACTTCGGCTGCAACTCCTCTGCCATCCCTGGCTTCGGTGACCCATACCTTGCCATCCCCATCTCCCCTATCCCAACTTTAATCCTAAACCCTAACATCTCCTCATTGCCACTGCTGCTAAGCCGGTGTCGCCCCTCCAAATCCCCTTCAGTCGGCGCCTCCTCTGCAAATCCCCGCTCCACTACTATTCCTTCTTCCGTTGCAGCTCCTCTCTCTCCTTATTTCCACCCATAGCCCCCCCTTTTTTTTTTTTTTTCTTCTTCTTCTCTTCAAACCCAAGATCTGGAAACCCAAATCTCTCTCTCTCTCTCTCGCAACTGCAGATCGAATGATGGAGTGGAGGAGTTGAGTTGCGCTGTGGAGGGGATCTAGATGATGGGTAGCGGCAGAGGGTAGCCAACGAGGCTGGAGAGGGGTGACGGGGTTGAGGGAGATACGAGTTGCAGTGTTAACGGTGAAGGAAAGGGCAACGCAAGTTGTTGATGTGGCAGGGGCACAAATGGATTGGGGATGGAAACAGAAGAGGGGAATGGTGTTGATCGGAGGGTGACAGCGGCAGAAAGAGGTAGGACGGCTGACGGCAATGGTTGATGGTGGCGGCGGCGGCGGCTGGGCAATGTTAGGGTTAGGGTTATGGTTAGAGAAGATGAGGATATTTTGAAAATATTTGAAAATTGATGGTGTGTATTGAGTGAAAAATAAAAAATAAAAATTGGTTGTGGTGTGCAATGAGTAATTGGTGTGTACTAAGAGGGTTTGTTGTGTGTAAATAGAATTACCCTAAAAAGAGAAACATAAATAGAAATCTTCAACACTCTCCCATCCATTCTCTCTCTCTCTCTCTATATATATATATATATATCTGTATCTGTCTATGAATGAAAATCTCTTTGTTTCACACTTTCTTTGTCTCTCGCCCCTTTGTTTTTTTTTGCTTCTTCTCTCTTGGAGTTGAGTGGTACTTCTCTCTAGCAACGGTAGCCAAAGAACTTCCCGACGACGATCGTAGGTTAGTTTTTCTATCTTTATTTTATTTTTTTGTAAGTCTGCATGAATGGGTATCTGATTTAGTAAACATTGCTAGTTTATGGGAATTATAATTGCAATGGGTGTTGGATAGGAGAGATATATATATAAGAGAATAATAATGGCTTGTTTTGGTGTCTTCTTATATCTGTTGCTTTAGGTAATTTTTATCTTCTTGGTTGGAATAGCTCGATTTTTCACACACAAACAAACCCTCTTTCTCTCTCTTAAGCGCAAGAATACTGGATATGTACATCCTGAATATCTAAAAATATGAATTCATAGATATGTTAGGGCATCTCAAGCCTTCCATCAATACCCATATCAAATTCAAATTTGAGTAAAAAAACTCCCAAAACCCTCTTCACTCCTTTACTTGAAAAGCTCATATCAAAATGAATTTCCCTCCACTCTTTTACTCAAAATTTTATCAATTTTACTCAAAACAATGGAGGCCTATATTCTTTACTCAAATTTCTATCCAGTCTAAACTTAACAATTGGGCACTTTCACCTAAACTTTCCACTAATCTCTTCTACTTCAACCCATAACTTTCACTCAAACTTGACACTTGGCAATTTTGCTCAAACTTGACATGTGGTTAATTTTTTTGTTTTCTACATAGAGAGAACATAAAATACATTTATTCTTTGTTTTTTATTCTTTTATTCCTATTTTTTTTTTTTGTAGTTGTAAAAACTATAATAAAATAAATAGCATATTTGGTATACTTAATTCTCAAAACATATAAAAACTAAAAAAAAAAAAAAAGGTTTGGTAAGTCATCAAAAGCAAGGGTGATAAACGAGCTGAACAATTAATTTCCTCATTCAAAAAAGAAAAAGAAAAAAGGAGCTGAACAGTATACTTTCAAGCTTAGTTTAATAACTTTATGAGTTTTAAAATTTGTTCAAACTTGGTTCCTTTAATTTTTGAGTCGATCTCAAACGAGCTTTTGTCGAACCGAACTCGAATAGTTTTGTATTTTTATATAGTTTTAGGTTTATCGAACTGAACTGAATGAGTAACTGCTTGTTCAAGCTTGGTTTGAAAACTTTAAAAAGCTCCAAAATGTGTTCAAAGCTTGTTTACTTATCGAACTGAGCTCAAATGAGCCAACACGAGTCAAACTCGAGCTATTTGGTTCATTTATCACCCCTAACCAAAAGGGGGAGTGGTCGAAGATGGTCGCTGAAACAAAGAGGGTGGCCAGAGGATAGAGGGAGGCAAAAGGGAATGAAACTTAAGTAAAAACACTTTTTTTTTTTGTGTACTCGAATTCTGAAATTGTAGCCATTTTTTTTAGAGTGAAAACAATTACCAAGCGTTTTTTATTTCAAATTTTTTGAAATCTAAAACAAAAATAGTAATAATCGTAAAAATAAAAACCTCACCAAACGAACCCTAAGATTTACAATCCCAATTAAAAAATTTGTGAAGTTACCAACTCAGAGTTAGAAGGTCAAATAACAGGGCTCCCAATCTACTAAGAAAACAAAACTATAATAGAGAAAAAGAAAAAATAAATAAGAAAAATATGATCCCAATATGAATACAACAAATCAAGTACCAAGAGCACATGAAATAGATACATAACAAGCATTCTAATGTGGTGGTGATCCAATATGGTTAGTGCTCTCTCCTCTTTCACTATAGATAATTTTCTTCCACATAGCCACGTTTTGTATTCACAATCTCAACCTATGGTATGCGTGCAATTTTCCAATAATTCCTTCTAAGTCTCTGTTCGGGCTCAAACTCAATCCATTAGACATATCAACCAAATAAAGAGACTTAAGGTTGTTTTGTCATCAAAGACCACTTCGGAAATGTATTGGTACTGGCAGCTCTTGAGATTAACTAACAATCTCTTGGACCAAATCTAGACCAGATAGTTTGATCCTAACCAGCAAGCCATTGAATTTAGACATTGGTCTGGATGGAGTGATATTCAATAACTAATATCATCATTAAATTCTGGCATAATACTTAAAATAGATGAAATGTTTACTGTCTTTATTTGTTCAAATTTTTTATTTGACATTGGACTTCCGTGTAGGGCCTTGACCTTCCTGAAATTCTTGTAGAAGCTGAAAGGCGTGGGTTATCTTTTGATGAATTGTTGACAATGCCTGAGCAGGATGATTGGATATAAAGTGATGGGAAGTCCACATCATTTGTTGTTTTCATCCTGGAAATGTACAAGGAAGCAGGGCTGTTTGATCCAATTGCAAACTCCATTCAAGTTACGGAGTTTATGGTGAGTTTGTTGTGAGTATTCAATTTCATTGATTTAAATAACGAAGTCTCAAATTTGCATCCAATTAATGTTTCACGATCAATACAATGGTTTTTTTTCTTTTTTTATAATATTATTTATTGAATTGGCTTATATTAAATCCAGTATTCAGATGGTTTAAACTATGTTATTGTATTTGCACGAGGTTGGAAGATGTCACGACTGCACCCTCACATTTCACCTAAGTTTGCATTGAATGATTATCGACAAATTTTTCCTCAATAAAACTATTATTGTCTGCATGTGCACTGCTTTGTACTTATTTACGTACAAAAAATAAAAGAATGTTAGTTTATTTTAGGGTAAATTACACAAATGGTCCCTAAAGTATACCCTTGATTTCATTTTGGTCCCTAATCTTTAATTTGATTCAATTGCATCCCTATACTCCACATATTAATCCAGTGTAGTCCCTTTCTTAGTTGTTGTGGGAAAAACATACTAAAAATGCTTATGTCAGCCTCATGTCAAGCATTTGAAGGGCATAAAACGACATTTTGACACATCTATTTATACCAAATACTATCATTCAAAGAGCCAAACACCCTATGTATTTGACTTTCAGTAATGAAATGAAAGTCTTGGATGCATTTTATTTTGTAAATAATGTTCATTTCACGTGTCTCGTGATTCATTTAGGTGGAAAATGAGAAATTCCTCGTAATGCTCTCCAAATGCCTTATGAGAAGCTGACAAGCATTTTTCATAATTTTTTTAGACGATAGTTAGGATAGGGGACTACATTAAATCAATGTGTAAAGTTTAGGAATGTAATTGATACAAATTAAAAACTATAGACCAAAATGAAATCAATGGTATACTTTAGGAACTATTTATGTGATTTACCCTTTATTTTTACTATCATGAAAATAAACTTGAACTGTATGGATAAATATGGATGTTCAACTTAAATTGATTGTTTTGTGGATGTAAAACCCAGGTCAGGTATTTTACATATTATTTTTCTTTGTTAATTTGTCTTGGCCAAACTACAGATAAAAGATGCTTACACTCTCAAGTTCTTTGAAAACAATTCAAGCCGCATGCCAAAGTGGTGCAATGGCGTGGACACCGTGAAGCTCCCTTACTGCCAAATTTGAGGGAAGTATTGAATGGAACTACCTGAATACAATATGATGGATCCATACCCGCATATGAATGAAAGGTGCTCATCTCTTCCCCCAAAATACTCTAGGCCTAAGGGTTTCTAAAGTCTAAAAAGTCTTCTGATTTGTACTGGAGTTTTTATACCACAGCTTTGTATAATACTAGGTGGTTGTATGATTTATTTTTCTGTATACAATTTTTTTGATGCAAAGACTGGAAAGATTCCAAAAGATTAGTTGATTTAAGTTTGATATTGTTTGTAAATTTGCTATCACAATATGCACAAAGAGTAATGGTAATTTCATTGTTACTACACAGTTTTGCTTTTGAAGATCCTAATTCAGAAATATAGATGATTGAATAAGGTTTGATTTTGATGGAATTGCTATTCCTTTTCAAAGATCAATAAATTTTGGAAGGCACCCTACCAAAACTTCAAATCAGATCTAATGTATGCAGTTGTTTGATAAGCCATTAGGATTGATTTCTATGGTTCCGTAAACCGGTTCCACGGTTGATATTGAGGTGTTTCTCCTTCCACTCGTCGTTCTATTGCATCATGTTGCTCAGTCGCTTGGGTAGAATAAACTCTTGTTGTGTCAATCACGTAAAGTCTACAAAGTAGAAAATCAACTAAAGAGCTCTAAACATAGGAAGCTTGCTTTCACGTCTACATCCTTAGCCAAGTCATCATTCCTCCGACTCTAACTACTACATATCTATGAACTTTGAATCATATGGTCAAGAATAAATTTTTTTAACTAATTGCAAATATTATTCTCATTCGTTTGAGGTTTATAAATAAAATATATATATATATATATATATATTTTTTGTTCCCTTTTTTTTTGTGTGTAAAAACTACAATAAATAGCAAATTTAGCACTCGTTTGGCATAATGGTTTGGGGCTAAAATAGTCACAAAAAGACAAAATAAGTTAAAAAGTTAACAAAACAAAATATCACATCTAAATCATAATCATTTTATTTTTTCTATCACAAAAGTCAAAAAAACTAAAAAGTCCATTCCAAACAACGCTTTTTAGCCCCGGATTAAAATAGTCAAAAATCAAAAGGCCAACTCACATCTCAAACGAACCCTTAGTATACATGTTCTCAAGAACATAAAAAATCAAAGAGTAGTGCTACTTTAACCAAAAAGTTAGATTTATTTTTCAAGCCTAATGATGTAGCGCTCTATCAAAATATTAATAAATTACAAATATATTTTTTGAGGTTTGCTTAAAATACATATTGTCCTCTATGATTCTGAAAATTACATCTTGCCCTTTTAAGTTTCTAATTACATAACAAATAACTCATTTCATTAATAAATTATCAAGTTAATTAATTGTTTTTAATGATGTCATAAATATATTTTAGTTAACAATTAAAATAATTTTATTGTTATATAGGAGAATGATTAAAATTTTCATCTTTCTGCTAATTATGTTAAATAAAAAAATTTGATAATGAGGTATATGCAATTTTCAAAATTACAAAGAACAATCTATATTTTAAATAAATCTTAGGAGGTGTATTTGTAATTACCTTAAAATATTTAAGTCAACTCTCTTTTTAATATTTTCTCTAATCATCAATCATTCATTTATTTTACATTATACATCACCGGGTTTAGAAAATGAGTTTATAAAATAGATTTGTATTTCATTTTTCAAAATGAAAACAAGTATAGTAAGTTACCAAAAAAGGGGAGTGGTCGAAGGTGATTGCCAAAGCGAAAACATAAGGGTAAGGGTGGTAGGAAAGAATGAAACTTGTTTTGAAAATAAGTAAAATCACAAATTTCTGATTTCCAGAAATTCAAAGAACTATAGCCAGATTTTTTTGAAAGTGAAAACAATTAGTAAACATGCTTTTTATTCTGATTTCAAAAAATCTACAGCTAAAGAAAAATAAATAAAATAAAAATCTCACTATTCAAAAATTTGTGAAGTTAGCAAACGCGTTTTTTAAAAGTGAAAACAATTAATAAATGTGTTTTTTTATTTCAATTTCAAAAAATCTAAAGCTAAAGAACATTTAAAAAAAAAAAAACTCACCAAAGGAACAGTAAGATCTACAATCCCGATTAAAAAATTTGGGAAGTTACCAAATCTCAAGGATCAAAATTAGGACGTCAAATAACAGGCCCTCAAACTACTAAAAAAAACAAAAAAACAACAGAGAAAAAAAAAAAAATAGAGAAAAATTTGATCCCAATATAAATACAACAAATCAAGTACCAAGAGCACATGAAAATAAATAAATACATAATAAACATTCTAAATGTGGTGGTGATTCAATATGATTAGAGCTCTCTCCTCCCGCACTATAGATAATTTCCCTTCCAATAGCCAAGTTTTCTGTCCCCAATCCAAACTTTTGGGATGTGTGCAATTTTCCAATTATACCCACGCTCCAAGTCTCTGTTCAGACTCTAAATCAATCCATCAGACATATCATACAAAGTGAAAACAATTAATAAATGTGTTTTTTATTTCAATTTCAAAAAATCTAAAGCTAAAGAACATTTAAAAAAAAAAAAAAAAAACTCACCAAAGGAACAGTAAGATTTACAATCCCGATTAAAAAATTTGGAAAGTTACCAAATCTCAAGGATCAAAATTAGGACGTCAAATAACAGGCTCTCAAACTACTAAAAAAACAAAAATACAATAGAGAAAAGAAAAAAAAAATAGAGAAAAATTTGATCCCAATATAAATACAACAAATCAAGTACCAAGAGCATATGAAAATAAATAAATACATAATAAACATTCTAAATGTGGTGGTGATTCAATATGATTAGAGCTCTCTCCTCCCGCACTATAGATAATTTCCCTTCCAATAGCCAAGTTTTCTGTCCCCAATCCAAACTTTTGGGATGTGTGCAATTTTCCAATTATACCCACGCTCCAAGTCTCTGTTCAGACTCTAAATCAATCCATCAGACATATCATACAAATCAAGTGATTTAAGGTTGGTTAGATGTTCAATGCCAGAGGGTAACTCCTCTACCAACTCGCATTGCCGGATAAATAACTCTTCAAGATGAGGCATCGAGCCAGCCTCCACTTTCACCCATCTCATTCCTTTAAATCCAGTAAGGTATAATCTCACAAGTGTTTGAAATCCACCAGCCTTGAAACACAATTCTTCTCCTTCATATGTCTGAAGCAGATCAAGTTCAACCAAACTGGGCAAATCTTGAAGGGATTCCAGTGGATCAACATCCCTTAACTTACTCCATGCTAAAACTAGTCTTACCAAGCTGTGCAATGAAGGTTTCCAATGTGGTACCTTATGTAAACTTCCTGCTAGACAGAGCGTTCGAAGAAGTTGAGGTGGTGAAGAAAGAGAATCTAGATCAATGATTTCGTCTCCTCCTGTTGCACGAACAATCAATGAGCGAAGGTTACTAAGCTTCTCAAGGGACGAGCATAACACCCTCTCATCTTCATTTCTCAGCCTTTCAATCTGTAATTTCCTCAGTTGAGTCAACTTCCCTACCTCTCCTAGCAAAATGGTCCCATTATCATGGTTTGTTTCAATAGAACAAAGTTTCTGTAAGGATGACAAACTTCCTATTTCCGTCGGGGCCTTGAATCCATAATGGTGTTGAAAATGAATGGAAGGACCAGGATATTGTATGTAGCGATACAACAAGATATGGCGAAGTCGTTGGAGCTTCAGGATATCATCAGGCAACTCAGTGACATACGTATTTTTAAGGTCCAACGTTTCCAGGTTTTGGAGCTTTCCAATCGACTTCGGTATTATTTTTACCTTAGTTCCCCTCAAACTTAAATACCTGAGTTGAAGTAGTTTCAAAACTTCATTTGGGAATGTCTCCAACAAGGCACCTCTCAAGTCTAGCACGGTTAGCAGCGATAGACCATCATTTGACGATGCTAGAATGGACAGCTTAGACAGTGAATCTGTTGCATTGAACATAAGCAAAGAACGAACTCGAGTGAAACGCTTGCTTTGTTGTGTAATTTCCAAATGATTGTTGATTGATAAGCGCCGCACCTTTTCAGGCCACGCTTGCCTTTGTTCAGCAGCTATTGTTACAATGTTTTGCTACTTTGAAAAAATTATTCCACGCCAAAGGTCATGGATGCGATACATTTTGACCCTTCTATCTCGTCTCCTCTTTGCGACTTGAATTAAGCTTCTATTGATTAGCTCATTGAGGTAACCCTCGGCAACTTCTTCTATCATCATTCCTGCTTTCAATTCTACAAATCCTTCTGCCACCCATAACCGAATCAATCTCCAATGGTCAATGAAACAATGCTCTGGAAAAACACTTAGATAGAGAAAGCAGAACTTCAGATAATAAGGTAAATCAATGTAACTGAGGGACAATATTTTGTTCATGCTTAGGAGTTTGTCATTTCCTTGTAGTTCTGCACCAAGGCTGCGGTAAATCTTATCCCACTCATCCACACTGCTCCTATCCTTTGTTGATAAAAGACCACTAATTGCCACAATTGCAAGCGGCAATCCCTGGCATCTATTCAAGATGGCTTTTGAAAGTCCTTCCAAATGAGAAGGGCAAGAATTCTCCATAAATGTTTTCCTGCAAAACAATGTCCAAGACTCTTTGGGAGGCAAGGGCTGGAGATTATAGACATTGCCATTATGTTCTTTACTAGAGAAAGAGGCTAATTCTGCATTTCTGGTTGTCAGCACTACTCGACTGCCACAATTGCCAATAGGAAACACATATCTGAAAGATTGCCACGCATGAAAATCCCATACATCATCGAAAACAAGCACATACCTCTTTTGTTGCAGGAAAGCATTAATTATCCCTTTCAAGCTGTTGATATCCATGTTGTCCAACCCTTGTGGGACTGGTTGCTTGATTTCTTCAAAAAGTTGTTTGATGATGCCTTTTAGGAGCACCTCAATCTTGAAGGATTCAGAAACAGTGATCCAAACACGGCTCTGGAAATGATTCTTCACATCTGCATCATCAAAGACCTTTTTAACTAGTGTCGTTTTGCCCAATCCGCCCATTCCTGAAACAGAATACACCTTGAGTCTGGGGTCTTCATGCACCAACCACCTAATTAGTTGCGATTTGGGCTTGTCGATGCCCACAAGCTCAGATTCATGGAGTAGAAGGGCATCGCCGCGATAATCATGGCATGCTGTGTTAAGACCAGTGGACCTTGAGCTTGAGCCTTGCTCTAACATACCATACCTGTCATGGTACCTCTGATGTCCCTTGGAAATATCGTCCACTCTGGACTTTATTCTTTGAACTTCAGAAGCAATTTGGTGACGAGCTTTTAATGTCCTAATAAAGGAAGAAACCTTACGAAGAAAACCGCGAAATCCAGCGCCATGACGGTGTCCGAGGCGAAGCATGTACAACTCGAGAACATCTCCAATGTCGTACGCAGCTTCTCGGACTTGTTTGACCCATACTTTGAGTTCGGGGTTGTTCTCTTCCATAGCATCGGCAACTCTGAGGAAAGCTGTCATGCGCTCGAATTCATCTCTGATGTATTCGATCTCTTCTCGAACTCCGATCAACAAATTGGCCTCTTGTTGGAGAAAGGGTGCAAGGTTGGCTAGTAGATGGAACACCGCACTCTCCGCCATTTTGCTCTGTTGATGAGAAAATAATGGAGCTCTGAATTCTGAACTGAGTTTGGAATAGTAGGTGAGTTGTGAGTTTGAAAATTGAGGATTTTTAATGCTCAAATTCAACTGGGTTTCATTGATCCTTGATTGCCTTTCCGCTGTGAGTTTGAAAATTGAGGATTTGTAATGCTCAAATTCAATGGGTTTCATTTATCCTTGATTGCCTTTCCCCCCCTGCGGATTAGGATCCTCTCCAGCCATGGTATCCTCCAGCAGTGTCCTGCAGTTTGTACCAGATGAAAACACATGGAGAAGAGTTTGATCCAATGGACTGAAATGGACCACGTAGTGCAGATGGTGAGAATAAATTGAAACGGTACCGTTTTCAAAAAAATAGCATCGTTTTGACTAACGGTGGCAATGGCAAACGGAGTGCAATTTTTTTTTCTTTTTTCTTTTTCTTTTACCTGGATAAACAAAAATGGCGTTCCATCTCTCTTTCAATTTCAGTCCAAAAAAGTCAAAAAAAAAAAAAAAAAAAAAAAAAAAAGGGACCAAGAATACCCTAGAATAAGATCGGTACATTATCAACTTGGAAAGCAGCCGGCGGGCGTAGAGCAGGAGCAGCACCGACAACCGCCGGTGTACATAGACCAGCAGTAGCACCGACGGAAAGAACCCTTCAAACATCAACAGCAACACCGGCAAAAAGAACCCTTTACACCGACGGAAGGGACACTCCATTTGGTACATTATCAACACTCTCTCTCCATATCCTTGGAATAGATGCTGTGTTGATTTGCTTGGAGGTGTTGTGTTTATTTGCATTATCAACTCTCACTCTCTCTATATATATATTATCAGTAATTTTAGGTATGATGAAAAGTCTTTTACGAAAATAATCATGAAAGATTTGTGACATTTGTATTACACTTAGAATAAAGGACCACACACTAATCAAGGTAGAGAAAAATTAGGGATCATGAAAATTTTTTCATGAAAATGACCATGAAAAATTTATGATCTTTGAATTACTTTGATTGGTGTATGGTGCTTTATTCTAAGTATAATCCAAGAGTCACAAAGCTTTTATGATTATTTTCATGAAAGGTATTTCATGATACCTATCATTACTAATCAAGGTAATCTAAAGATTACAAATTTTTCATGATCATTTTCATGAAATTTTTTTCATGATTCCTACCATTTCTCATATATTATTGTTTACTTGGAAACAAAATTAACTCCTTTCTTTATGTATATATTTTTTGGTTCTTGAATCAAGTTTAGTGATTATTTTTATTTTTTGTTTTTGATTCCTATATCAAAGTAATGCTTTTTTATCCAATTACATTATAAAAATATTTTATTGCTTTTGGTGCTCTGTTGTTTTTATTTTTATTTTTTTATATTGCATTTGGTGCTCTGTTTTCTTTATTACATTTGTTGCTCTGTTTTTATTTTATTTGTTTTTTTAATTGTTCTTTATGAAAGTGCTTTTTATTCAATGATAATAACATGTTAGTGTTATATATAATTTTTGTTGAACCTAATTTGTAAATTGACTTTTTAAAATTGGTATAATAAAAAATTTAGTTTATTGGTTTTGTTGCCTAATTTCATCCGTGTCATTCATGTTTAAGAGATTTTTGCCTGAAACAAAATCATTTTATTCTTGGTAAGAACTAGGCAGTGACACCAATTCAATTTGCGTCCGTAGCAAGCAGCTGCTGTTAATCTCCATTACAGTGCTTTCAAAACAAATACTAAGTTCACATTATGTCATTCAAAGGTTTATATTTTAGCCCACAAAGCTATTAGATTCGTAAACAAGGAAGCAACCAAAGCAAACACCAGCCACTCTGCACAATACTTCTCTACTACTTCTAACCTTACAATTTTGATCCTTGCTTGCAATCCACTTGTGCATTTAGTATGCTCCCCCCCAGTTGTTGAAACTTCGACCTTCACTAACACATTGCAAAATAAGTATATTTTGCACCGTAAAGGATCAAAATCTATGTGAAAGTCCTACAACAAAGTTAATATTTAAAGGCCAAACATTCACAGCCATCAACAACCAATAAATTTGGCCAAGGCTGATATTTGGGATTTATCTGACTTGATTAAAACCAGGGTGGCTATTTGGTTGATATCATCATCAAAGGCAGGGCAGTACACGGTTAGTGATTTTATTTATAATCTTAACCAGATTCGTGTTTGTATTAGGGCGGGTTGAGAAATCTTGTTGGCAGGATGGGTGTTTTCTGGGCTGGGCAGAGGTGATTGTGTTGTTAGGTGCTGCGGTTTTGTCTGTTTGGATCAGTGCATTTTTTTTTGTTTTGTTGTTCTTTGTTGGTACCTTACCAACTTGGCCTTGAGCCTTCAGATGATTGTGTAGTCCTCTCGGTGCCAACCTAGTTGGGATTAGGATGGGTTACTATGATGTGTGGCTCATTGGCTTTCTTTATTGATGTATTCTACTATGTTTTCATTCTAGTTTCATCAATAAAGTGTTTTTTTTTTGCTGATCAAAAAAAAAAAAAAA